GTATCATAAAATCTAAGGTCTGATTTAATCAATGTCTGTTACAGTCCAGAGGGCATTCCGTCCATGCAGATATTGACCGAAGCTAATTTGCTTTTCAGTTCAGACACGTAATGTTGTTTTTATCGCATCACTGACTGTTGCCTAGGCCTATATTCAAGCCATGATGTAAACGTAAAAATGCAAAAAACAATGCTGAGGTTAATATGAAGGGTCAGGCTTAGTGATAACCCAGTAAAACTGCGGTATGACCGGCTTAGACTGAACCACCATATTAGTTTCAGTCCATATCCATATGAACTGATTGCCATTCTGGATATTAACCTATTCATTTACTATAATCTGTACTTTTTTACAAGTTTCAGTTTTCCGTAGTTGCCAGAGAAACGCACAACGATTTAACTTTATGAATTCTGATTTCCAGTTATACGTTATTAGTTGTACTTATCTACTTTTAACCATTTAATCAGTTTTTCTTACTTGTCGAATATTTTCTCATAATTCAGTATAATACTTCCACTGAATTTCAGCCGTAGCCAAACAGTATGCATACTGGATCGTGGTGAATTATCGTGAGTCATACAATATGTACGCCTGTAATGGCATTTTGTTCAACCACGAGAGTCCGCGAAGAGGTACGTTTTGAATTTTTTATTCAATATTGTTCGGTGTATTTTATTTATTCATTTTATTATAATTTATTTAATTTGTGCCGTTGGTTTAATTATGTAAATTTTTTTAAATATTTTTGTCGCAGACCAAACATCTGGAAGAAAGTAGTGCTTCTAATGTGCAGCGCAAATATCTAGAAATGTAATCGTTGCTTTGATGTAGTGCATTGCTGTAAACGTATTCCATGTAAATGCTGTAATGATTCTGCTCAATCTAAGTTTATTTAGCTCTAAATTGGCATATATTTGTTGGCAGTTAATGTTTTGCCTTTGATAAAGTCGAAGAATGTTGGCTACTTTTAAGGGTGGTTTCGTTGGTAACGAATTCGTTGATTTTCGTACTCGTCGAACTTGTGTCTTAGACATGATGCTCACTCTGGTCCGTTATATACTAATAATTTCTAAGGCGAGAATTTTGTCACGCGGAAAATCACGAGAGCGGTGGCCAAAATACACTTGGGATATCAGGAACACGTCGAACTTGGAAATCTAAATGCCAAGCGAGATTGGGGCTACGCGAAAGACTACGTTGAGGTAGCAATGTGTTTATCTTGTTTCCTTAAAAGTTTTTGTTTAATTTTGCTTCGTAATTA